CCAGTTCCAGTCTCAATGGTATGTTGATCAAATTCCTAGCCTCCTTGGTATGCTGTTTCCAACCCTAGTCTCAATGGTATGCCAATACAGCGCCAGTGCCGAAGGTGTGCCAATCCCTACCACAGTCTCAATGGCATGCCAATCCCAACCCCAAACTAAATGGTATGCCAGTCAAGGCCCTAGTCTTAATGGTATGCTGAAGATCTAAACCCTAGTCTTAATGGTACACTTATGTCAACACAATGGCAAAAATGGCGAAAATTCGCCAAAGTTTGGCGAATATGTTATGACAAAGCAAAGGGTTCCCATTGAAAGTGGCGATTTTCGCGACAATGGCGAACATTCGCCAAAGTCTTAAAAAATTTAAATGGACATACTCTCCAATGGTATGCTAATCCTTACCCTAGTAACATTGGTATGTTGATCCCAATCCTAGTCTCCTTAGTATGCTGATCCCAACCCTAGTCTCAATGCATGGTATGCCAATCCCAACCCTATTCGTCACGCGTTCCTGCCCCACGAACGTCTGCTGAAACGAGCAGCCGCTTCTGTTCGTAGATACGGACCAATCAAAGGCCGTTTTCCAACTTTGGGTAAACTCGTGTTTGTTGTTAAAAATATTACCCGGGACAAGATAGCTGGCTTAATTTGCTAAGTGCCGTGTTGATGTCCGAAACGTTTGGTATTGGGGGGTTGAAACCGGATCAAACAGAAACCAAAGTTCAATTTTTGCAGAGGATTGATGTGTTAGTACTCCTCTAACTGCATGGATGTGCAAAGTCACCTATTTTTCAACCTTTATCGTTTGTTTTCGACTCAATTTTTGAAGCTGCTGGCCATATTGTTGTTGTGGTTTCGCCGCTTGTAAATCGTATCCAAGACCAGGTCCACAAGCTGGCAAATGTTGGAATTTTGCCGCTTCTCCTAGTGATATCAGTGAACAAAATGCAAGAGGTGTACGGGCAAGGAAATGGTTGAAGTAAAACCTGCAAGGGAAGACAGCCTGACAGACTGTATTTCTTAGCCGGTATGAGATTTTACATATTGCTCTAACGAGATCTCATTCAGACTTTTTGCATTTAAGTAATGTACGATACGTGGGTCATTTGTTCTTTGCCGCATCTTTTTTGTAGCGGCCAAAAATTCACTTGAAACAGTTTGTACTCAGCGGTGGAAAACATATGCTGGCCTCGCGCGTCGCAGATGAAAAGGTCACTCGCCAATCGCTCTTTTGATTAGGCCTTTAACGTCGTACCCTGTCTTTATAAGATGGAAACACAAAGAAATCGATCTGAATAATCTTTTCGAGAGTTGAATGAGAACATGAAATTTGATGGATATTTTGGTGAGAAGCTTATCGCGAAAATTACTTTACGGGTGAGCCTCGGGTGTCGATTTCCCTTTCTTCACATTATGTGATCGGCTGTGCATATCACAGTCAGTCAGTGCAGATTGGTCTCTTTAAACAAAAGCAAACGGGCAAAGAACGGAAGTGGCTGCTCATTTCAGCAGACGTTTGTGATGCAGGAACGCGTGACGAACCCTTACTAACGTCCGCCTGGGAGGCTAAACCGTAGTGTCAATGGTATGCCAATTCCAACCCCCGTCTAAAGGTACGGCAAAACGGGCAACAAAAAACGTGCAATTTGTCTTGCAACATTGCTGCAAAACGAGTTGAATAGCGATGCTGCGCGTTTCACCTCCTACGTTCAAACCTGTTAACAACCTGATTTGTTGCAAGACAGGTTTGATGTTGCACGTTTTCCCATACATTAAGTGGTGTGCTAATCCCAATCCCAGTCTCCATAGTATGGTGATCCCAACTCCTGTCTCAGTCGTATGCTTATCCCAAACCCAGTGTCAATGTTACGTTGATCCCAAACCTAGTCTCGATGGTATACCAATCCCAGCCCCAGTCTCAATAGTAGGTTGGTCCCAACCTTTGTGCCAGTGGTATGCCGATTAAATACCAGTCCTAATTCCAATGATAAGCTAATCCCAACCAAGGTCTTGATGGTATGCTGATCCCAATCCCAGCTGATCCCCCAATCCTGGGTCCAGTAGTATGTACACCCCAGTCCAGCGCCGGTATAGGGTGCCAATCTCATTCCTAGTATGGAATTGCAATGGGATGGTTTATGATAGTATTTGGCTGAAGACAGGGTTTTAGCCCCTCTTTTACATGATATGGTACCAAATAGGCTATGAATATCCAACATTTATATCTGAATTCCATAGTGGCCGCCTTTCACTCTAGCCGAAGTTCTTTGTAATCTTAGTATTCGTTCTATTACCTTTCGATCACTACCCACCAATGAAAGTAAAAAATGTAAGAGGATACAGTGCAAACACAATGTCGTGAAAAGTTCAATTAACTATGTTGCTTTTCTGCATGGGTGGTAATATGAACCATGTTAAAGCGACTTTTGCGGCAGAGGATTGTGAGTGCGTTAAGTAATCATCACTATTAGGCACCCTTCTGCATGGTTTAATTTTATTCATTTATTGTTTTGTCAACAGACACAAAATGTCACTACATAATTGCCTCTCAATAATATAATCTAGCAATGCAATGTCCGTTGAAACATCATTACGGGCAACTTAAAGTGTTGTAACGAGCTCTTTCCCAGGGACTCTCCTCTTCTCGCCGTGTAGGGTACGAAAGACCCTGGGGGCGAGGTTGGTCCCGGTAAGAGCGAAACCGTAAACTACAACAACAAAGTCACAGTAAATAAAAGACAACCTACACAAGTGAGCTAACGATCACTAAAAGTAACGTTTTCTCTTGCAAATACCTTGCATGGTCTAGAGATTTAGCTTGCGAATACAGCGCTCTCGTCGTCCCTAGCGGCGAAGAGACGGCTGTATTCGTAGGTTACTAGAGATTGAGCAATTGTAAAACTAATATACTACAGTTTGTGAGAAAGGACAAAACTTAAGGTCAAAATAGATTAACTTGATTTACAAAAATAAATTAAATACTAGATTGTAATTAGTAACTCCAATCAGTGCTCCGTAAATCTACTGCACCCTTGGTGTGAATACCCCTGGTAACTGTGGCGGTGGTGGTGTGCATCACGCTTCCTGAAATCCTGAGCCTGTCTCAGACCAAAATATGATTTTCCCTATCCTATTTCAGACCCAAGCAGTTGAAATCTAGTGGCAGGAAATGCTCGAAACCGATGAGAACCACTACACGTGTACCGCACACCACCCGACACTAGTGCTTGAATAATAGTTAATAATATTTCTCCACACGTTCCGTCAAAAATTAAATTTCTAATTCATATAGTATCCCATATCATTGAGATAACCTAAATAAATTATAGAGTTTTGGTACTCTCTAATTCGTATGGTTCAGATTAATGTTAACTTCAAAAATCACCGCACAAATCAAGCTGTATGAGCAAAATATGTTTTCGGAAGGAACTAGTAGCTTCTTCAAGGCAAGATATGTTACTGATATTTGGTGCTTCAATATTCCTGTTGTATTTTACACCAAGAAGAAATGTGGTTCGATGTAATTTACAAAGCAGGTCACTGCAAAATTGTTGTTCGAACATTAAAATCACTTGATCAACTCAACATTTGTGTAAGAGCTGATTGCAAGTAAGGTATTATTCAACTTGAAATGTTTACGGTAATTCTTAAGACAACATCAAACAAGAATGTATTATACAGCAAAATTACGAACAAAAGAGTAAATAAGAGGCAGGAACAACAACAAAAACAAGGATAAAAATATCTTTAAAACACCTGCCAGTATTTATGCAAACAAAAGGTGCCTGCCCCTAACGACTCTTGAATGAAAATGCAAAATACTACGATAACCTTTCTAAACCCAAAACAAATAGAGGTACAGAATGTACTGTAATATGTCATTCAATACCGGTTTTTGAATTTGTCAACGAAATCTTGAGATTTACCCTGGTCTGAAGAGATTTTCACTTTTTCTTTCTATCAAAATTTTACAGTTAAAGGTTGGAAATATGCATATTACAGAAGGAAAAAGAGCATATCTTGATCAGTTGTCTCAAAAATGCAAATTAGCGCTTTAAGAAAACTGTACAGGGCCCATCAGCTCTGAGCCTCACATATTTAAGGGAACCAGCAGTAAAGGTTTATGTAACAACTATGATTCCCTTGCTGCTTAATGACTTAAAGGTAAATCTTAGTCACAACGGGCCATTGACACTGTTCAAGGTTCTCATTAAGTGCTGGCAACTGGCTAAAAAATAAGCTACTTCAAACTTTGAGCTGCCTACTCTTTGCGGAAAAAGGGTACGTTGAGACACAAAGCGCCTGAAATTGCCTTCAGCACTCGATTGTCAAGCTCCATACTTTCCTAGACATCTAATTCAAAACTTGAGAACCCTACAGCTAGAACAAAGCACTAAAACAACAAAATTGTAGGTCGAAATCTTAGTTTTCTTAACTGAGTTGAGAAAATTTACCACCCAAAAAGATCGAAAGCTGACAGTTGGAGTGCTAGCCGCTCATTACAGTGAATTACTCTAAATGTTAGCTTTTAAAAAGTTTTATGGTGGTAAATTTACTTCAGTGGATAAAACCAAACCCACACAACACCACAATTTCTTGGGAATCTAAGCAATAATTGCTTAGATTAGATAATTGCTTAGATAGACTGGGCTTAGAGAGGTGTCATAACACAATCATAGTAACAAAATATAGGTAGACAGATGGAGTCACTTATTAAAAAAAGTAAAATAATTATACTTCTTTTAATAAGTGACTCAACTCCATCTGTCTACCTAGATTTTGTTACTATGACTGTGTTACGGCACCCTACAGTTCTTCTACAATCAGTCAGGAAGAATGGCCCAGGGTACAAATGGTATGAAAATCAAATAAATAAAATGAAAGCGCATCTTCTTACTGTTTGGCTTTCATCAAAACTAGGATTCTTTCAGAATTCTGACTCTCAGCAGTCTTGGAAGTAAAAGGGTTATAATCTTTGAAGAATTCAGGAATTAGTTTTTTTATGGTTCAGTGTGGACTGCCGCATACCGGGCTTTACGGTCAGCACCTCTGTTTTTGTATTTCGTTACAAGCATTATAGTTAGAGCCAATGTGAGACTCAGGGCAATAAGACAAACCAATGTAAGACCGATTACCAATCCGACAGGGACTGGCTTCTTTTCAAGTAAGACTTCTTGCAAGTTAGTGCTGCCTTCATCATGCTTTAAATGCATCTTTCCAATTGGTTGCAAGATGAAGTCCTCCTTTGTGGCCAGCCCATCGTTGACTTGAATATTCTTTGTGACCGGAAAATACCCACGTTTGCTCACCTTCACCTTGTATTTACCTGGAACAAGCAATCGCCAATAGTCACCGTCCTTCGCACTTTTCACAGGATGATTACGATCAAGGACATTTATTTCAGCTCCCTCAATCCCTAAAAAAATTAAAGTGACAACAATATTACAGCAGGAAGCTACTAGTTAACATTCATGTCTTTTCATCAACAAGCTCTCCATTAGTAGTGTTCCGATCATCCATTATAAAAATTTATTAGATGAGGGTTTTTTTGTGATATCTGGAATCATCAGGGTCAAGGTAAGTATTATCAGCCGAGCTGATGGCTGAGGCTGATAGCACTTAATGAGACCTTGAGTATTCCAGATGTCACAAAAACCGAATCAAATAATTGTATTATTATACATTATTTTGAAGAAAATAATGACAAACACACCATCACACAGAACAAAGTTTGACTTTCCTCTTGGAAATCATGCATTGTGTGGGCAACCTACAGATTAGTCACTAATGTGCTAGCAGAATAAAGATAACTAACTAAGCTGTAGGTTGCACTGATTTCTAAAATTAACTGTAGGTTCTCAGATATTGAGAAGACAGATAGTATTGAAACCTTTAATACTGAAATGACCCAATAATCAGAAAAGTAATTTTCAATCAATATTGTTGTGTGGAAAAAAATAGAATTTCTTGTTGGCAAATTAAAATCTTGTGTGTTGTTGTAGAAAGAGAATTCAATCGCCTGAAAGTACAAAAAAATAATATTTCTCCAAACAAGAATCAAACTCATATAACCCTCCAAGTTCTAGGTCAGACGTTTGTATTTCAAGTACTTTGACTTGCACAAAGATGAACTTACAAAGAGATTCTTCTGTTTATAGTGAAGCTCTCATGCGCGAAGCGCACGTGGAGGAGCCCCATTGCTAAGATAAATTGGTAACCTATGAAAGCAAGAAAATTTGCTTATGACGAAGCATACAAATGCTGACCGTCCGTACACCCACTACATGTAAGCCGATAACAAATGTCAGGTTATTTTGGCAGGAAAGTGTATGGTCACCTGCGTCTTGTGAAGCAGAGACAACTACAGAGTCAATAAAGACGAAAACGGAAGAAAGAAAAAGAGAAAGAGAAAGACAGAGAAAAAGAGAAAGTAAGGAGACAGGTCAGCGAAGCTCAATGAGAAAAAGAGCTAGGGCGAGATAGAAAAAACAAAGGAGACACTTTTTGTTGGAGGAACAACATGAAATTTTGTAGCATTGGTGAGAAAATGAGAAATGCTAGCAGCCACCAGGGTGAAAGTGAGCAACAGTGAAAAAAAATAAAATGTGTAACAAAAGTTTCTGGAAGTTTGACGCTGTAGTCGTGCAAAATAACGGCAAAGAAATGTAGAAAAAAGGTGTGCTGCACGTGAAAAGTTGATTTTCTGCTAATTAGACCTATTGTTGTGTATTTTCGCTGTTCTCGTTGCCTTCGCCGGTTAGCATTACATGATTTTATAACTTGTTTGAACAAACAATAAATATTATTGAGAGCTTCGCTTTTAGTCCTGGCTAAATCTATGTATTAAAACATGTAGATGATCTATCAGGTGAGTCAATCTGATTATTTCTGATGATTGATTACGAAATCCCAGCCAATTCCCGACACTACTCTCTATAACAAGGTATGAGTGGCTACCAGTACAAGAGTACTTCAACTTTATAAGGGCCATATAATAAGTGTTTCATTATGAAAAGGCGACAGAAAGCTTTCCACCATCAGAGACCCAGGGGCCGGTATTTGAGAAAGGATAATTTATTTTACAAGTAAAATTGTTAAGTTTTTGAAAAGCATCCCGGCAGACTTGATGAGTGGTAAAACAAATCAGTCTTCATAATATAAACTGTACCTCTTTCTGATTTCTGGTCCTTGACAAAGCCACTGAGACCAGTGTGAACAAGCTTTAGATATTCAAGCAGGGATTTCTTGTTTTCTTTCCAAAACCGTTCAAGTGTAGACTCAGATGGAAACTTGCAACAGCTGACTTCAACAGTAATTTCAAAAGCATTGCTTCTAACATAGTTGTAATCTTGCATGCCACCAGTGACTGAATACCACTGAGCACCATTTGTGATGCCTAAGAAAGAGTGATCAGGGATTAGAACTAAACATTTGAGCAAACATAAAAACTCGGCATGGATCCCTGTTGGTTTTCACCATTTTAACAAAAAGCGATTAGGTTCCAGTTGTTTGAAACTTGGATAGGGCTACCAAATAGATAAATTTCTGTTGACAGCGGCCAACTATTAGGGAAACCACTAGATTGCATTATTTAATTATTATTCATTCAAAATATTTTGCCGTTTCTGATTGACTCAAATCCACTGGCTAATTCTTCATTACCAGCTGGTCTTGACCAAATTTGGAAGATGCAGTCATAAAACATCGATTTGACGGTACATTTGCTTGGAAAAGAGGTTGATCAATGTATATTTGCCTGGAAATGAGGGTGCTTGGGCAACAATGAACTGAAAAAACTTTTGATTCCAATTCAAAATAGCTGAATTTCTGACAAAACTGGACAGAAGAAATGTAAGAATATGCAAAACTTATTGCTCGAAGCATATTATCTACTTTTTGACGAATATCTGCCGGTAACAAGCAACTGTTAATATCATGAAACTGTCCCAAAAAATAGGCTAAAGTATAAAAGAAAGTCTAGGAGGAGGTAAGTTTGTAACTGTGAAACACACAGAACCGTAAACACCAGAAATATTTATGGAATGTTATTGTGTTGCAAGGAATTAGCCAATAAGCCACGAGATAAATAAATTGTAAATATCTTATTATCCACTCCCCACAGGGCTTTTCAGGGTTAATTTACAACACTGGTTGGGGGACTTTGCCACTCTGCTTAAGGTGCAATTTATAAGTAATGAAGGAATGAGTAATGATGCCCCCATACATGAATGTGAAAGTGAGATAGACCACTACATCAGGCACTATGTGCCCTACTCTTTATGAAGAGTGTGTGGGTTGTTTAACGTCCCGCAGATTTATTACATGTGCAAGGGCTTGTGAGACGGGGCCTACGGTTTATCGTCCTTATCCGAGAAGACTAAATAGTCAGAACCGTTTGAAGATGTTATTACAAAGGCAGCACTTTCTCCTCAGTTATTTAAAGACCCTGAGTGTTGGTCCGGCCGGGGTTTGAGCCTACGGCCTCCCGCTCAGCAGACCGGCACTTATCCCATTGAGCTAACCGCGCGGTGGTAAACAGCAACAGTAATTAGTTTGTAGTTTTGAGGTTTGCTTGCGTATTCCTGAACTTTACTGTAATTGGCCAGTACACCATGAACATTCCTGAAATTTTTTAGGTGTTCACATCATACTCAGTAATAATTGTTAATTATCCATTGGATAGTGATTTAATCAGTGGATAGTATTTCTCTCCTTTTAAACAAGTGCAGCAAGACAGATGATTTACAGTTAAAGGATATAGCTTTTTAACGGTGCGTTCAGTTGGGAAATCTGGATTTAGATTTTAAAATCCGGATTTGCAATCGAACAAGAAATCTGAAAATGGATTTTAACACTGAGATATCTGTTTTTGGATTTCCTTTTTAACGTTCCATTGGCAAAATCTGAAAAAGGATTTGAAAACTGTCCTTAAGAACAGCTGTCTTGCACACCTTGAAGACCTCTGTTGATGAGAATAGTTTTGCAATCCTTTTTTGGATTTCCCAATTGAACAGTAAAAAGGAAATCCATGAAATCAAGATTTGGATTTCTTGAGTGAAATCCACCCTGAGGACGGTTTTCTCAGAAAGGAATTTATCTGTTTTCAGTTTTTACGCTTGATTGCAAATCTGAAATCCCGATTTCCCAATTGAACGCAACGTAAAATTTGCAACTATTTCTTGTGATAGATGGTTTGGAACCTAGTAGTGGTAGGAGCATTTGCCACTCGTGTTCATTCAGAAACTCCCAAATTCTTACCTAAAACTACATCCTATAATAATTTATTGGTCAAGTACCTGGTTGGCATAAAGAACATGAGCAATGCAATGTCTTTTGAAAGAGCAACAATAGTTTGTTGTTCCTTTGCACAATGACTTTCACAATACCAGAATCATGCCATATGAATTTGGTGAAGGTGATTGCACTTATTCTATAATTATTATCATCTTTTAAAACAAAAAACGAGTCAACAGCTACCAGCACCCGGAGGATCATGCTCAAGCTACTTATGAAATAAAGCGATGCTATTACATGTAGACAATAGAAAGATAACAGATAAAAGACAGTATACAAATCTTACCATCCTTGAAATTATCGCCATCACATTGTGCTTTATTCAGATGCATTGTTGGGTGGTTTGCAGAATAAGTTAATGCCAACTTTCGAAAAATGTCATCATCAGTTGTTGCACTATATACACTACGTTTGTCGGCTCTATCATCATAAGGGTAATTTGCCACTAAGGAACCCCCATGGAGGTTAGCTGACAGAACAAAGGGATTTTCATCAATCCATTTCTTCACAATAAGAGTTTCTTTTTGTAATTTACTTTCATCTGCTGCTTTGTTTTCATCAAACCGGTCTGGAAAATTTCTGGATGAAAACAAACAATGAAGCATTTAAAAAACAAAACACTTAATAAGAATAAAAATCAACAATAATATTATTAGTATTCTGCTGCCACTTTCTGATGCTCACCAATTATAATTAATAGTTACATGTATTTTTGGAAATACAGTGGAACTTCGCCTTATGGCCACCTCGGTAATATGGTCACCTCGTTATTATGGCCACCCTTTTTCCGCCTGGCAAAATGGCCTACTTTTCCTTATGAANACTTTCTCCTCAGTTATTTAAAGACCCTGAGTGTTGGTCCGGCCGGGGTTTGAGCCTACGGCCTCCCGCTCAGCAGACCGGCACTTATCCCATTGAGCTAACCGCGCGGTGGTAAACAGCAACAGTAATTAGTTTGTAGTTTTGAGGTTTGCTTGCGTATTCCTGAACTTTACTGTAATTGGCCAGTACACCATGAACATTCCTGAAATTTTTTAGGTGTTCACATCATACTCAGTAATAATTGTTAATTATCCATTGGATAGTGATTTAATCAGTGGATAGTATTTCTCTCCTTTTAAACAAGTGCAGCAAGACAGATGATTTACAGTTAAAGGATATAGCTTTTTAACGGTGCGTTCAGTTGGGAAATCTGGATTTAGATTTTAAAATCCGGATTTGCAATCGAACAAGAAATCTGAAAATGGATTTTAACACTGAGATATCTGTTTTTGGATTTCCTTTTTAACGTTCCATTGGCAAAATCTGAAAAAGGATTTGAAAACTGTCCTTAAGAACAGCTGTCTTGCACACCTTGAAGACCTCTGTTGATGAGAATAGTTTTGCAATCCTTTTTTGGATTTCCCAATTGAACAGTAAAAAGGAAATCCATGAAATCAAGATTTGGATTTCTTGAGTGAAATCCACCCTGAGGACGGTTTTCTCAGAAAGGAATTTATCTGTTTTCAGTTTTTACGCTTGATTGCAAATCTGAAATCCCGATTTCCCAATTGAACGCAACGTAAAATTTGCAACTATTTCTTGTGATAGATGGTTTGGAACCTAGTAGTGGTAGGAGCATTTGCCACTCGTGTTCATTCAGAAACTCCCAAATTCTTACCTAAAACTACATCCTATAATAATTTATTGGTCAAGTACCTGGTTGGCATAAAGAACATGAGCAATGCAATGTCTTTTGAAAGAGCAACAATAGTTTGTTGTTCCTTTGCACAATGACTTTCACAATACCAGAATCATGCCATATGAATTTGGTGAAGGTGATTGCACTTATTCTATAATTATTATCATCTTTTAAAACAAAAAACGAGTCAACAGCTACCAGCACCCGGAGGATCATGCTCAAGCTACTTATGAAATAAAGCGATGCTATTACATGTAGACAATAGAAAGATAACAGATAAAAGACAGTATACAAATCTTACCATCCTTGAAATTATCGCCATCACATTGTGCTTTATTCAGATGCATTGTTGGGTGGTTTGCAGAATAAGTTAATGCCAACTTTCGAAAAATGTCATCATCAGTTGTTGCACTATATACACTACGTTTGTCGGCTCTATCATCATAAGGGTAATTTGCCACTAAGGAACCCCCATGGAGGTTAGCTGACAGAACAAAGGGATTTTCATCAATCCATTTCTTCACAATAAGAGTTTCTTTTTGTAATTTACTTTCATCTGCTGCTTTGTTTTCATCAAACCGGTCTGGAAAATTTCTGGATGAAAACAAACAATGAAGCATTTAAAAAACAAAACACTTAATAAGAATAAAAATCAACAATAATATTATTAGTATTCTGCTGCCACTTTCTGATGCTCACCAATTATAATTAATAGTTACATGTATTTTTGGAAATACAGTGGAACTTCGCCTTATGGCCACCTCGGTAATATGGTCACCTCGTTATTATGGCCACCCTTTTTCCGCCTGGCAAAATGGCCTACTTTTCCTTATGAAAACCCCCCATTCATGTGGTCACCTATTAATCAACCAACAGCCACATTTTAAAATCCCAACATTTTAAAATCCCAACAGGATTTCATCTCGTTAATATGGCCACTTGTTCAAAATTTACAAAATTAAAATGCCTGTGACATGCCAGTTTTATTGACCTGGTACGGTCAATAAGTAGTTTAAGTAGTTTTTTTTCAATGTTATTACTGTACGCGACATCTACATTCCGGTTGTTCATTTATGAGAACAGTTGTTCAAGAAATGCGAATGCGATGTACGGTGTATTTGTCATTGCAGCCCTCAAGTCATGAAATTTAAGCCAGCCCCAACAATACGGTCAAATTTTGTTTACCCATTGGTGACTGTATTAATGGGGTTCCACTGTAGAACCATGTATTTTTTTAAACCCTTTTCAGACCAGGCTTTTTTTTGTTTCCTGTGACCATGGTTATCATTCTCATCTTGGTTGAAAATTTTTAATTCCATGTAACAGAACTATTTCAATAATTAGGGAACTTAAGCAACAACCGCAGCAATGGCTACAAAAATGTCACTAAAAAGTGAATTTGTCACTGCTTAAGCTCCCTACTAACACACAAAAACGCAATGTCTTTGTATCAAAAATGCGTCCACAATTTGAGGGCATAATATAATAATTATTATTACATTATTCACGACAAAGACATAATTAAGGATTTTTTTACTCAGGGAAAGAGTTCTGTTTGTTTTCCTTCCAAATTATTTGACTAAACTTCATGTTTTTTCTTCTTTTTATCAAATCTAGTAGAGGTATAGACAGACAGACATTGAAAACTGGCCGTCCAGAAGGCATGTTTTCCCATAAAATTATAAGAGATTAAGTGAATTTTCTTTGCATTTCTTAGAAAAATGGGCGTCAATAGGATGGCTGGACACCCTTCTGGCTAAAACCTTGGGTACAGACCTCTAAAACTTTGGTAAGCTGTAGGAACTTTCACAATATTTGAGTCTCCGGGTGAACATCCATGCTGTTTTGGTCATGACATGTATGCCAGGATGCATGTATGTAAAGGGTCTGTTTAACATCATGTTAAAAGCCACCCAGCGACACAAGGTTATAGAAAAATACAAAAAGCCAAAACTTTGAAATTTTAAAAAGTACAATCAGGCCTTAACAATCAATAACAATCTTTCTATCTTACAAGGATTCCAAACCTTAATTGAACAGACTTCACATAAATATGTTGATGAACCTAGTGACCATGCTCTTTGGCAAAGCTATACTTTGCTAGGTAAACTGTCTTGTTTTGTACAGACAACTTTTGTTATCATGGACACACTGAGGATCAAAAGATAGTGTCCTTACAAGTGTGAGTCCACAATAGCAAGGTACAATTAAAAAGAATTTTTTTACATCTGGATGTTCTACGGTACCACTTTGTGTTTGTTAAAAAATGTAAGAACAATAAAACTATGGTGATGAGGAAAAATGTCCAGAAGTCCATAAATAATATTATAACAAGAACTAGTAACTATGGGAGTTTGTTTCATGTAAGTCAACGTGGAAACATCTGTAAGTTTTGCTGGAGATTTAACTGATGTTCATGTTTTTAAGGTCTATATGTCTGCGTTAAAAAAAAAAAATAAAGAAATTATTATTTTATTATCAATTTGCTTGGTATAATGAGGATCTCTGTTTAGCAACTGACAAATAATTTTTTTCCTACGAGTGAAAATCCTGGCAGAATAACATTTTTAAATAGGCTTACCATCCAATCTTCATTTTTACTTGTAAGTTTTTTTCCCAATAATAAATTTCAAGATGAAAACATTAAAACAATCTTATGATCACCATTCCAAGTTTAAAGTAAAGGAGATTGAAAATATATTTGAAAATTTAAAATTATGATGAAAATACAGGTTTATGGTGGTAATTGATTGACGAGAATGGAATAAAAAGCAAAAGTTTCTGCATTACAATCCTCGATAGAGCTGTTTCTACGATCGCTTAATTATAAGTAAGGGTTGACTCACCTATTAAGATCAGCATTATTTGCATTTCTTCTCCCGACAACACCAGTACATCTCTCGCCTTCATCGTTCCTTGGAACAGCTTTTGCCCGTTCATAACCATCAGGATTCATAGAGGGCATAATGGAAATTCTTGTATTTTTAATCAAGTTGGTTATTTCTTCATCATTTCTTTGATATCCGTCGAGTAAACTTTCAATAAAATGAAGTAGAATTTCTCTGCTCACGACTTCGTTTCCGTGCATGTTGCCGATGTATTTAAATTCAGGCTCACCAGGTTCGTGGACGCCTGGATTATCCGAAATTTCTAACACCCAAAGAATCCTGTTTTGGACCGATTCTCCCAGCGGATGAAGTTTAGTTATCGATGGGTATTTTGTCGCGAAGGTATGGAGAATCTTTGTCATTGCATTGTAATCGTGATGCGTGAAATCAACAATCTTTTCTCTCATGGCACCGCGACTGTGGAGGAACAGTAACGCCAGGAAAGCAAAAACTCGCCAATATACCAACAT